GCGGACCCCTGAAGGCCCAATGCCTAGCCGACTTCATAGCCGAGCTCACGCCAACTACTGCCGAGGAACCCCAGGTATGGACTTTGCATGTTGACGGGTCCTCCAACTCCAAAGGTGGTGGTGCAGGTATCATCCTAGAAGGGCCAAACCAAGTCGCCTTGGAGCAATCCCTCAAGTTCGGCTTCAAGGTGACTAATAACCAGGCGGAGTACGAGGCACTTCTTGCAAGCTTGAGGCTAGCTCGCGACCTCGGAACTCGGAGAGTGAGTTGCAACAGCGACTCAAAACTCATGGTGGAGCAGCTTAGTGGGACGTACCAGGCAAATGATACTATGCTGCAGCGGTACTTTCACACTGCGTCCTGCTAGATCTCATCCTTCGACGAATTCACCATAAAACACGTGTCGCGAGAGCAGAACGCCCGCGCAGACCTCCTATCAAAGCTCGCCAACACCAAAAGACTCGGGCAGCACCAGACCATCATCCAGGAAACCTTGCACTCGCCCAGCCTGGACGACAAAATCGTCGGCGTCACCGACAATGAAGACCTGGGATGGATGGCAGGCATCTGGAGTTACTTGAAAGAAGGAGTCCTGCCCGAGGATAAAGACAAAGCTCGGAAGATAAGGATGAGATCAGCCAAGTTCATCATTATTGGGGATGAGTTATTCAAGCGTGGCATTTCCTCCCCACTGCTCAAATGCTTGACGGCGTCTCAGGCAGCCTATGTCATCAGGGAAGTTCACCAGGGGATATGCGGCATGCACTCCGGCGCGCGCTCAATGGCGACCAGAGTACTCCGAGCTGGGTACTACTGGCCCACCCTGAAGTCGGACTGCCAAGCCCATGTCCAAAAATGCAAGGAATGCCAGCAATTCGGCAACGCACACCGGCAGCCGCCTGAAACTCTCCACCACATGATGTCGGCATGACCTTTCTCCCAGTGGGGAATGGACATCCTCGGGCCATTCCCCCCCGCGAAGGGCTAACTAAAGTTCCTCCTGGTAGCGATTGATTACTTCACCAAATGGATCGAGGCATGCCCACTCGCCAAGATCACCATCAATCAATAGTGTGATTCAAAAAATGTTATTTGTCCATGTTCAAGTTCATGCAATTAGTGCGATTTTTTTCTATAATATATAGTAATAGTAGTACTGTAAAATTTATTAAAAATTACAAAACTACAAAAAATTGCAATTTCCAAATAAATTTCAGCCAACAATAATATATTAAAAAAAATTATGAGTATATTGATATTAAATCCAAAGCACCGCAAGACGTTGATAAAGTAATGGTATACATTCCTTGGAGGCTATATTTTTAAATATGTATCTGTTAAGAAGATAACTAAGAGATATAATTGAACAGCGGCGAGCACATAAACAACTAGATATGTTTTTTCATCAAAACAGATAATAACGGTGAATACACCATAGAATGATTCAACCATACGAATGCATAAAGAAAACATCTATTACTTAATTCTATATCATATCATTACATCAGAGCTTTCCCTAGTTTGGATGTGCATTTGCAAATGACATCGTATACAAATAAATTATTGATGTGAAATAATTACTGCAATGTGTGCTCCCCAATCACGTCCCGTATCAAATGGGCAAAAGACTTAACCAAGAACTCAAAAAATGTGTTAGGCTGATATCAATTCACTTACTGATGTCTCTCCAAAAACTTCTCTATTACAACGGAGAACGCTGCAAAACCAGCACAACCAGCACACGCTGCTTTTGGGCCACCTAGAATCATGTAACAACAGGGGAAACATTACCAGACATCGTGGAAAAAAAAAAAAAAAAAAAGAGAAAAGACTCATAAAAGGAGCAAGGTTGTGTTGTGGATTTCAGTTCTTGATTTGCCGGTTCATTATCCTTTTATCATACCTCTCTCTACCTTTATTCTTTTCTCATTACATCTATCACATTTTTTCATGTCCCTCCCAAGGTACTACTGTCAAAAACCCATGAAACTGGTGCTTACCAAAGTGTATTCTATGATTTTCAGTTTTGATCAACACAAAAGAATATTTAAATATAAAACTACTTAGGAAACAACCACACCATGACAAGATGCATTACAATCTTCAATCACAGAGAGCTTTATTCATTATTTATTCTCTCAGCCATTCTCTTTACCATCATCCTTTCCACTGCCCTTGCCATCAGCAACCAGCAAGCAAGCATGCTGCAGTATCTCAAACTTCAAATATTAGTTACTAATTTACAGCTACCTTAGATGGTCCTACTGCTACCTAATGTTCAAAATAGGTGCCTCACTTTGTTTGTCTCACAAGAACACCCCATTCATCAAATCTCATCCTAAAACAGCTTGGACAATGGCCTTCTACCTTAAGCTTTATTTTTATCATAGTAATTATAATTCCTTGCATCTTCAGAAAAGGTAGTAAATTGAAATATCAAAATAGAACAAAATCATTTTTCTAGGGTCATAATCATTAAACTCTGTTGTAAAACAGGTTTTATAGTGGAAATAAAATGTGAAGGTTATATGCCCTTTCATAAATAGAGCCTAGATGCAAAGCAGGGCAGAACTTACTATTGTTGTAAGTTTATCATTATCCCAAGCAAGATTACAAGACTAGAGTATAAGCTCTTGAAATCAAAGATAAACTCTTCAAATTTCTCATCTTTTCTAGAATACGTATTACCCTAACTTTCACTATGATGCATTCATTCTAAATCCCATGTTGTCAAATTTGTCTGCTCCTTCAACATAGTATTTAATTTCTATAACATCAAGTTATTCTCTTGTTGGAATTTTACCACCTAATATTCAGTTTCATACAACATCTCACATCATACAGGTGTGCTAAAATTCTCCTTTAAGCTTGAGTGGTACCTTTTTGCTCACAGATAACACTTGAAGAACTCCTCCATTTCATCCAAATCACTTCAATCATATGATTTAGATCACCCTCTTTACAAAGGGCACACTCTTAAACATATTGTGAAAAATTACTTTCAATGGTTATCAATTGCCCAAGTGCTTACCACCCAAGGATAAGCAACCCTTAGGCTTGTCACTTCTGGTTCTGGTCATCCTGCATTAGTTTTATAGACATTGTATGATCTATAATACAATAACTAGCTATATTTAAAAACCATCATACTCCTCAGAGATGAGCATACACATATCCCTCCTTCAAGTACAGGAAATAATAAGCAACTAAAAATATGATTTCTTAATATTTCTGCAAAAGATAAACCACTTCACAAAGTGCATCTTAGATGCAAATCAAACATACAAAAGCAAAGTGGAATCTTGCAGTATCACAGTTCTGGGTATAAAGGTTTACAAGTCTGTTCTATACATGCTTTGCCAGGTCATGCATGGCCGTCATTTGTTAAACTTAGAGTTAGATATAAGTTAAGAGAAAGGAAAGCACGATAACAATGAGAGAGGGTAAAAGAAAAAAGAGTTACCTTTTGCTGATATTGCACCTCCAGTTACACATCCAGCAACAACAGTATTTGTTGTGTCATGTTTTGCGCGAGCCTGGGAAAAAAATCAAGGACCGAGATGGTAAGAAGAATGAACCTTGAATGCTTAATGTAAATTTATGTGCTCATTCCTCAAATGATCAAATCCATTAGACCTTCTCGACAACACACTCAGCAGCTGAGAATACGAAACCCATAACAGCAAATGCTTTGGCTGAACTCCAACTCCTTCGCCCCATCTGCTTTGCTTGATATATAAACTGTTGTTTGCCAGTCATTTCCTCCTGCATCAACGGGTTGTCCAATGCACCAAGAAATAAACCCATGACGATTCCAAGCCCGCCCCCTGAAAGAACATTACATGAATCCCAATAAACACGGTTTTTAAAATATACATCTCAACAGCTGTAAAAATCTAAAAGGGAAAGACAAAAGAAAAAAGAAAAAAGGCTCGAGTTCATTTAAACATGACAGTCTCATTCATTGTCAAACAATACTAACTACTAAGTAAAGCTAGGCTCATATACACAAGGGTCGACCTGATGCTCTCTTAAATTAATGTTCGATCAATTCATTGTCAGCTATAAGACATGGAATGTATCATATCCAAGAACAAAAAAAAAAAAAAAAAGTTACGCTTATATGACCTCTGAATCATTTGAAATCCTTAACCAAGGAACACTAAACTTATAAAAGAATTACGTAAACATTTGGAGCATGCCAATACAATTCATGCAGACGTGAAATATGTGCTACAATGTATGAAAAAGTGAGGATCGAATGTCATACCCATGACTCCACTAACAACACTGCGCATTGCACAATTGTTCCAAATGTCTTGACCTCGGATTTCCTCCACAGTGGGAAGTCTTATGGGCTCAATCTGAGGCTTCTCTACTTCTGTTGAGTTCGAAGAAACATTTTCAATTCCTTTACCCGCGTCATCAGCCATTGGTAAAAGCTCAAATCCAGGATATGGTAAAGCTGATTGAAATCCCCACGAGAGCTGCGAAATGAACAATGAACATTCTTATCACTAATTCGTTGGAAAGAAGGTGATGCTTCTACCTAGTGCTTAAGGATAATCCTTGTGAAGAATGAGAGAAACTTTATAGTGTGTGTTGGCGAGGACATGGAATGAATGAGGCAGAAAAGCGAAATTCGAAGATAGTATTAACAGATAGCGTGTAAGATAAACCTAAAGCTTAAGGTAATTAGAAGATTTGTTACCAGTGGACGGAGACGTGAGGCAACGGTGGAGGTTCGCCGTGAGAGGAGGGACGGCGGCAGAGGGATCTCTGGACGAAGAAGAAGAAGAAGAAGAATCAGGCTCCTCGATGGTGCTCACTAGGGTACTCATGTGCTATATTCACATTTTCATTTTTTTTTACTTTTCTTTTTTAACCATTAATTGTGATCTAGTTTGTATTAATATAATAATAATTAAAATATATTAAAAATATTATTAAAAAAATTATGCCTTTTATAATATTAAAAATAAAAAGGTTTAAGTGTTTTTTTCTTCAAGTGTAATATATGTGTTATTTAATTTTCTCAAATTTTAATTGATAAATTTTAGTCTATTAAAAATTGTAATTTTAGGGTTTTGATTTCTTAATTTTTAAGTAAATAATTTTTTTTCTAAAATACTATAATTCTGTAATTTTAATGTTTAAAATATTGTAATTATACAAATTTTTATCTATTTAAATTATATATATTAGTAATTTTAGTAATAATAGTGACATATCATTTAATACATGAATAAAATATTTAATATATAATTTAAATATGTCAAAAAAATGTTAAATTACAAAATTTGAGTGACTAAAATTGTATAATTATAATATTTTGAAGATTAAAATTACTTAATTAAAATTTAGAAGTCTAAAATTACATGATTATAGTTCTTAATGAACTAAAATTACTTAATTATTAAAATTTTAAAGACTAAAATTATACTATTGTAATTATAATAGTAGAAGAATAAAAAAAATACAATTACAACAAATAAAAAAAAGTTATATGTTTTTAACATTCAAATATATATAAAAAAATTGAAATTAAATATATCATAATAATTAAGTCTAAATTGATTTTTGACTAGTTTTTATATATTTGCCGGTCTTCTAGTTTATTGACAATTTTTCTCCCAGAAGGATTCATGATTTATTAATTTGAACTAGAAACTTACTAATTCATCCATTTTTTGTCTAGCCAATTGATTCAATTAGGTTTTCAAAATAATAAGAAATGTATAATTCATTTGTTTAAAATTATTTCTTAAATGAAACACTTTTTATGAGAACAATTATCTTCATGTTTCCGATCGAAGCAATTAACCAACGGGAGTTATTACCGTAATTAATGAGAGGTTTTGATACTGTATTGTATTTAATGTGGATGTACACATCATTTAAATAAATTTTATTTTTTATTTAACTTTTTTATATTATTTATTTTAGGGATTTAAGTAATTTTCATATCCATCATCTGTATCATGACCCTGACCCGACCCAAATCTACATCATAGATTACTCTTGCTAGTTGCCACCGCCCCCCTCCTCACTTCTGTGTCTACTTCAGTAATTCATGAACTAGTCCACTCTTGCCAGCCTCCGTCCACACCATCCCCCAACCCCTCCATGGCCGCCGTTAGGGAGAAAGTCGAGCAGGTTGTGTTCTCCGTTAACCTCTTTGCCAACATCCACGTCAAACCCAAACACATTGGAATCCTCGTCGTCAATCACAACCTCTTCAACCCCACCCCTTCCCTTTCTGCCATGATCATGAACGGCTAAAAGTTTTGGGGCTACGGTACCAGCGTCATGGACATGTTTCAGGAATATATGTTTAAGTTACTGATCCCAAAAATAAAATAAAAAATATGATTTTTTAATAAAATAAATCAAAAAACAAATTAAAATATACAAATATAAAATAATGATGTGGCTAAAAAATAATGATGTAGCAAACAATTTCAAAACCCTCCCAAAATAGGAGGGAACGGTAGAAATTCTCTAAAAAAAAATGAGAAATTTTATGGTACCTATCTTATTTGAGAGAGTACCGGTACAGTTTTTTATATTTTATATTTTTAATAATTTATTTAAATAATATAGTCATTTTATTTTTATTTTATATATTCTAATTTATTTGTAATAATATTATTATATATTTAAATAGTTTAATTTTAATAATTTTTTAAGTATAATTTTATCTTTTCACTTAAATTTTTTGAATTTCTATATTTTAATTTTAATAATTTTTTAAGTATATTTTTTGTCCTTTTATCTTAAATTTTTGAATTTCTATATTGTAATTTTAATAATTTTTTATTTGTACTATTTATTAATTTTTTTTCTTCTTTTTTTAATATTTTATAATATTATTGAAATCTTATAATTTTAATCTCTATAGTTTTATCTTATTTTTTATTTTATAAGTATAATTTGGATTATTTATTTTATAATTAAATTAATTTTTTTAAATATTTTATGAGTTTACATAGAAAAAATGTATTGAAACTCCTCAATCTTTGATAATACCGTAGTAACTCCCAAAAAAATTCCTTGACTGGTTTCGTGTTATTTCGTAAACTGTTCCTAGCTACTATGTGGCATTGTTCTTTTAAAGTGTATAATGTTCTTAATATGGTAGTCGATAAATGATAAATTAAAATAATAAAAGTTAAAATAAATAAGAATAAGAATTTAGACAAATTTTGTATATCGAAAAGGAATTGAAAGTCATGTGTTAGTTTATTATTCAGTCATTTTGGTTGTTTAGAGTATTTTATAACGGACATTAAAATATACCTATTTTATAAAAAAAAATAATTAATGGAACATGGTTATATTATTTTTTTAATATGAGCAATCTTCTAGGTATGAGACTTATACCTAGTGTATATAAAATTTTTACATGAGAAAATTATGGAAACTAAATTGTCTTGAGTCATATCTTCTTTAATCTGGCTTTGGAACATAATACAAATAATATAAATGTTTATTTTGAGTTTTGATTGATGGTGCACATGATAGTTCATTAAGAGATATTTTGATTTATTTTTATTAAAGAAAAATTATATATATTTGAACCTTGTAATTGTTGTAATTTGAAAATATACCTTGTCGTAGGAGTAAGAATCAAAAGATTTTCACATAGTAAAATATTTTTGGTGTATTTTAGACCATTACCCGTTGAATACTTGAAATTCATTTTTGGGATTACTATTCAAATAGAGTTAGGTGTTTGTCATTATGACTAATAATTGGACTTTAATTCTATTTCTTCGATGATTAAAGTTTGTGTTGATACGATTTTTTATTTTATTTTATCGAATCTACAAAAATTATATGTGACTTTCATAGAATCTTTATGAATCACATAATTATGTCCTACACAAATGGCTAAGAAAAAATAACATCATGAGCCTATCAGATCAATCGTGTATAATGAAAAATCTTTGAATCAAAGAACATCATTTCAAAAAATATACTTAAAGTAATAAGAAATAATTCTCCAATAAAAAAGATAATTTTAAAGATGTAAACTTTACTCATCTAGTGTATTGTATCTGTTTTTTCAACTAACAAGATTTATATATAGAGAGAATATGCGTATCAGTTGCAAAGAAACGACACTATATGCCTAAGAAATTGAAAACATATCAAACTTAGTTAAAGGGATAAGTCACTTTTCTTAACCTGAATTTCTAAATACAAAAGCATCCAACAAAAGACAACGGCCATTTAAAAGACATGGTCAATTAAAACAATTAAAAACATAACCGACTTTTGAAACGTTAATTAAAAGTAATTAAAAATATTAAAACATAAAACTGATTTAATAAAAAAATTTACTTAAATTTTTAAATTATAATAAAATTTTCCAACAGAAACTGATGAGTTCAATAAATAAACACCTATAGTCTATACCAAAAAATAAATAAATTAAAAATATTTTTAAAAATGTGTATGGAGATTGGAGAAAACCATGAGACATGATTCTTGAATATTATACATTGTTCAAAGGGTCATGAATGAATGAAAAGTTTTTCATCTCCTATAAATAAGGAATCTTGTGATGAGATTAGATATCTCTCTTAGAGGAGTCATCAACTCACCTCCTCATATAGAAAGAGAAAGTGGGATTATCATCCTATGTGGAAGAGTTTTGTAAAGGACTAATTTTCTCAAGTTTATTTATAAAAACTTGTGATATGATTTAAAAAAATAAATATTTGTTGAGACATTTTCAAAATGGAGACAAAAGGTGTTGAATGAGGTTAATATTGAGTCTTCGTTATTTTATATTTATGTGTTCATATCATACCTTGATCATCATTGGGTACGAAGAGGATTTTTCCCAACAGATTTAGATTTTTAAGGATTCAAATTCTCAAACAAGCCAGCTCACAACTTCTAACTTCTAACTTGCTCTAATTTTTGTATTTGTAGAGCCAACGTTCAGAATTAGTAAACCAATCAGATGTAACCAAAAAACTTTATTAATAATCATCAGGTTTTGGAGTCACTAACTCCAGTAACAACTTTAACCTGATTCTATATAGCACGTGCTTCTCTACCTGGAGAACGTGTTGGTGTGTCTGGCATATTCATGTAATCAGAAACTTCCATAACCAATGGATAAACATCTGTTTTGGGATTGTATTGCTGAAACACTAAAACTGATGCAGAAGTGGAGAACTCCGAAGAAGCCAAGTAGCTTCCAACAGGACCAAGTTCGGGACAATCACTTCTGTTTATCAAAGGTGCCACTGGCTGCATTCTACCTACCAAAATCAGATTGCTCTTATTCTTCTCCCTCAATGCACCTATAATTTCTCCTTTGCTTTCTACCAACCTTTCCTCATACATTATTGACTCTGAGCTGTTGCAACACACAATCAAGAACTCAGACCAAAATTGAGCATCCTGTTGTTTTTCTTCATCATAGGTAGAGCCATCATCCACTTCTATCACTTTCTTGTCCTCGTTGGCTGTTACACCAATCAGCTTGGCACCAAAGGCCAATGTCTTGCCAACTGGAACTACAAACTTCACAACAGCAAGTGAAACTCCAGGGTGTTCAGCCATTCTCATTCCATAAGCAAGTGCTTCTCGGTCATCACGTCCTCCAAAGAAGGCCACAACAACTGTGTAGGATACATCACTGGCTTGGACTTGGCTTGTACCTCCAAGGCCACGATCAACCAAAATTCCCACTGAGCAAGGTGCATGTCTAAGCACATGTCCGTTCATTGAACTGAATGAGTTTCCTAGTGACTCCATTGTGCCATCAAAACGTTGATGTTTGTGGAATGGTAGGAGAATTATTGCTGCTCTTTTTTGGTGTGCACTAGTACAAATGTCTTCATGGATGGTGTTGAAAGCTGATATGGCTGTCATGGGACGAACATTGACACTACTTAGGTGCCCATAAGCCTGAAATGCAATCACCATTTGGTCTCTGTTGTCATGTTTTTTGTTCCAAAAGGGCATGCCATTGTTGCGTGCCGTGTGAACCATTGTGATGGCTGAGGGTCGTTCTGAGAGTTCCATCAAGTGCATGGCGTACACGCATAACTTTCCACGCTTTCTGGTTCCACGAGATGACTCTATTAGGTTGATTAAGGTGGGAATATTGCGGGAACTGTGAAAGCATGCCAACACTCGTAGCTCTGTGTCAGGATCATTGCGTTGAACTGTTTTATGTGTGTAAGGTGATCCCCTACGTGCTGGTTTGTACACTGCCATTACTATTGGGGTGGTGATGAAAGTAGTGAACAATGCCATCAAAACACAAATTGCAAATGTTTGGTCATTCAGCACCTACAAATTTTGCAACAAATATGATTCATTAGTTTCAAAAGTGTTTTTTTTTTCCCATAGGAATTATGTTAATGAAAACGGACTCCAACTCCCACCATCAGGCGGACCCTAATAGTTCAGAAGCTTTTGTTATAAGCATCATATTATATTTGCAAGATTTTTACAAGATACCTTGCGATCCTTGCCAATGTTGAGAACAATGAGCTCCACCAAGCCCTTGGTGTTCATGAGAAATCCAAGGGCTAAGGCTTCTCTAAAAGGCACCTTACACAACAATGACACAAGGAATGTGCCAATGATCTTTCCGAAGCAAGCAGTTAAAATAACAAGCACCAACATAGCCCAAGAGAGTCCTCCACTTATAGTTGCCACATTAGTCTTCAAACCACTAGACACAAAATAGAGTGGCAAGAAAAGGCTCATTACAAGGTCCTCTATCTTCTCAATCAGCACCCCAGCAAAGGGACCATCCTTAGGCATAACAACGCCAACCACAAAAGCCCCAAAGAGTGCATGAATGCCAATAGTATCAGTGACAAAACTGCAAGCCAATACTAGTGTCAAGGTGATGCATATGTAGATCTCCTGCACTGGCTCACCCTCAGGAGAACGCTTAGCCATTATTGCAAGTATGGGTCTTATGGCAAAGGTAGCAAAGAGGACAAAAGCAGCAGCACAAAGTATGACCCACAGAGAAACAAGTGGGGATGTGTTGGAGCCAGAGAGAGCTATGGCAAGAGCGAGTAGTATCCATGCTGCAACATCATTCACAGCAGCTGCAGACATTGCTATGCGACCAACATCAGTTGTGAGGAGTTTGAGCTCAGCTAGGATACGAGCAAGGACAGGAAAAGCAGTGATTGAGAGAGCAACACCCATGAAGATAAGAAATGGTGTTGAATCAACATTTTTGGATATGGTGGCTCTAAGAGCATAGGAGGTGCCAATGCCAAGCAAAAAAGGGAATGTGATGCCAGCAAGGGCAATGCCTAAGACCTTGTGACCAGTTCTGCGTATAGAACGAAAATCAAGCTCAAGACCCACAAGAAACAAGAAGAATAAAAGACCAACATTGGCCACAGTTTCAAGCACAGTTAAGCTTCTCTTGGGGAAAACTGTGTCCAGGAATTTCTTACTCCTCCCAATTGCAGATGGTCCAAGTAGTATTCCTCCCTGCATTTATTTTCCAATGCAAGATGCATCCAACCACACGTTAAATTTTTTCCATGAATAAGAATAAAAAGAATTTAAATGGAAGATATCATAATTTGTAGCCTTTTAGTTTGACACATGTGAAAGCAAAAGAGATGCAAGAAGACTCATTTTTAGAGATAAGCAAGGCATTTGTTCATTAAAGAAAAGAAAACAATGAAGGGTGTAACTCTAATTTTTATTCATATTCAGATGTTTTGTGAAAAAGAAAACTTACAATGACCTCTGCGATAACTCTCGGTTGTCTGAGAGGTTTGCAAAGGAATGCAAGGAATCTGGTGAAGGCCACAACAATACATATCTGAAGGATTAATAAGGGAAGCGCATAATCCAATGGATTTTCGTGTTGGAACGCCCCATTGGACGTGGCCTTCATTGGTGGTGGACAAGTTGAATTAGGAGTTGCCATTTCAATTGAATCAGATTTCAGAGTGTGAGATGAAACACTTGATTCATGTGCACAGGATTAACGAGAGTTTCTTTCTTCTTATATTTAATGAATCTGCTAAGTGAAAGGAAAAGTAAATGTTGGGTTGTAAGAAAGGGGAATACATACACTTGGCATTTATGGTACGTAGCAAAGTCAGATAAAAAAAAACATAAGAGAAGGCATGACATGAATTGGATGTTGGTGATGAATTGTGAACACACACTAACGCAAATTCTGCTAGATGTCTATGGTGATTGGAAAAGGCAATGAAGCTTCCATCACTTTACTCCTTTGCTATATATAGTTTCTTGTTTGTTGACTTTTGTGACACCAACCCAATGTTTCCTCTCTTCTCATACAAAATATACCTTTTCAAATAATACAAGATTTCCATTTTGTTTAACTAAACCTAAACCCATACTCTTTTTTTTTTGGATATTTCAAATGAATGCTTCAAAATTTTAAAACTTAAAATTCTATACAATCCAATAAGTCAACACAAACTAACCCTCAGATTGAATCGACCAATGTTAATCATAATTTTTTTTCAAAAATCAACCGCAACAAATTCCGATTAATTGTTTTGAACCATCTTCTTCTAAATCTCCTCTGTCTAAGTTTTTTTTTTTTTTTTTTATAACAAGTGTTTGTGTTAACAACTTTTAGTTTGACCAATATAATTTAATAATGAGAATAAAGTCTATGCACTAGCCAAACAAACAATGATTTTTACTAATTTTTTTTGCATCAACAATACATTATTATTAACCCTGTAATTACTAGTTTACTAAATAGTTATTGTAAGTTTATGTTTTTTCCTGCCATGTAAGAATGATCCAATTGACTAAGTCTCTTCCCTCTTATTAATTCTTTTTTTTACAACAAAAAATTATGTTTTTCCTGTTTTTTGTCTTTTAAATTCTCATTCATAAAAAAAATACTATAATTGAAATTGGTTTTAGAATTTTAATTTTACAAGATATCTTTTTACAAAATTTAAAGAAAAAAGTATACTTCTAAATTAATTTTACTTCATACATAATTGGAATAAAAATAAAAATTCTAAATTATAATATTAATCCCGTCGCAAAATGTATTCTTAAAGTTGTTTACTGGTAAGATTGTATAATGTATAGAAATTTCATGAGGGAATTGTTTGTACCTTGTAAAATGCAAAAACATTAAAAAAAAAAAGATAATATGTATAATAGATTGATGTTTATAAGTGCAAACGTTAAAAAAAAAAACAAAAAAAATTTATTGAGCAATGAAGCTAACAATGATTACATTTACATTTATTCAGATAACTTATGAGTTGTGACTTTTTAATTTATTTCAACAAAATTTGTAATATCGTTTAATAAAAGTTCATGAAATAGATAATTCATTGAATATTTGCCTTTTTTTTTTTTTTTCTATAGAAAGCAGAGGTTGAGTTAAGGAATATGTTTAAATTTGTAAAACGGTAAAACGCGTAATGAAATTCCAATTTCCAAACATATCTTGTCTTTTTATCTGATTTGCCAATTAAATTGATCATATGTGAACATAATTATTAATTAATGAAACTGAGTTTACTCCTTTGCATATTTTCCAGCCTCTTTTCTAGCTAAATATATATACTGTAATTCTCTCCATGCTTTTTTTAGAAAAACTGAAAGAATATGATTAATAAACAATGAAAAATGAAACATTTTAAGGATATGAGTTTGTCTAGTCATTAATTAAGGAGGTATGATTAGATTCACGAAACGGTTGCAATCAGGCAATAAAGTTGAATGAAATAGTAATATCTTTTCCCCAGTAATAATGTAAATAAATGATATAAAGATCAAGTTTATTTTTCCATCATTTACATATATCGATATTTTTTATTTGTTAGAAAAAAATTACAAAACTATCTCATCTAAGTTTTCATATTTCTATCCTAATCCTTTTTGGCCAACTACTAGACTAATTTGTAATTATTATAATTTATTATCAGAATATTCATTACTTCTAATAAATTTTTATTTTAATCATATTTTCTTTTATATACAAAGGATGTGTTTGAATATTCATTTACATACATTCTTATGCATTCAAATAGAAAAACATGAGTATAGGTGAATTAAGTTAATGTACGTTTAACTCTTTTAAATGGTAAAACAAACATAGAACTTTTGAAGTTGAAATCTTATTTAAAGTATCTAACTCTAATTTCATCCTGAAGCATATATATTATGTTAGTAATATATCGGATATAATTTTATTATTAAATGAAATTCAAATAAGATAAGATAAATTAGAAATAAAATTTATTAAATGGAGAAAAAGACCCACGTTATTTAATAAGATTTATATACTTTTCATTTGATAAGTGTGTCAAAAACAGAATTTAATTAGAACTAATATTTTATTTTGCAATATATTGTATAGAAATAAGGATTTAAAATATATTAATTTTATAATAATTGAGTTGGACTTATCATGTAAAAACTTAAATGTTGTTTTAAGTTTTCTAAAATTTATAAATAGTAAATAAGTAAATATTAAAATAACAATTAAAAAAATATCACATCAATTAATTATTGCTTACCTAAAAAATGTACGATTAAGAAAAAAATTACAGCATAAATTAATTGTTGTCGTGGCATATAAGCATCTTATAGAGGCAGCTTCAGAAAAGATTCTATGCAGCAAAATTTTGTCTTAACATACACGTATTTTATAATTTATATCGTATATTTGTTTTGTGGTTGGTGAGTTTGCTACATCGATGACATAGAAACATACACCAGAAACAGTGAATTGTTACAAAAAGTAACAAATTAAGCCTGCAAGATTCTGTCTTCATATGCACTTACTACACTTTATATTTTGGTGGTGTCTTTGAAACTTTACAATTCACAAACATTGCATTTTGGTTTTGAAGGTAGAACATGTTTGGGGAAGTGGAGCATGAGCTAGAGCTGCACGTGCCGGCACGTGAGGCTTGGGATCTGTTTGGTGGCCTTGAAATAGGAAAACTCGTTGGTCGAGAGCTTCCGGAACTCTTTCAAAAGGTGGAACTTATTGAAGGAGATGGAGGCCTTGGCACTGTTCTCAAACTCACTTTTGCACAAGGTCATTTTTCATACACATTTCATTTTCAGATAACCCCTTAAATCAATTTCATTCTGAATCAATCACTAAGAGTTTATCTAAACATGTTATTTGGATATAAGTTAGAAGTGCTTTTGACACGTTTTCTACTTTTAGAAAAGAAGCTCTTAGAAATATTTATAAGATATGAATATGACTTGTTTAATCAGGTGTACCTGGGCCAAGTGGTTACAAAGAGAAGTTCACAAAGATTGATAATGAAAAACGCATAAAAGAAACAGAGGTAGTAGAAGGAGGGTACTTGGAGTTAGGATTCACTCTGTTTAGAGTTCGTTTTGAAGTGATAGAGAAAGGTGAAGAATCGAGCATATTCAAATCCACAATCGAGTATGAGGTCAAAGAAGAGAACGCCTCCAATGCCTCACTTGTTTCTGTCCAGCCATTGGTCACCATAGCTCAACTTGCCAAAAATTACCTAAACAAAAACAAGCATGCAAACTAGTTATCATTTCCTCCTAAATAATCTAATAACACTTTGCTTCCTGCATTTATGTTTCATCATTTCATGTATCCCTCTCTTCTTTCTAAGATGATTTGCATATATACTATGAAATGTGAATTGGGTGATATCATATACATTTTGTGGATGAGAATAACATTCAACAATTTAATCATCAGAACATGCAACATGGGGTTGGAGTTGGACCATATGAGTAGCTTAATTTAGATATTCAAAGGTCCAAAAGAATAAAAAAGAATATATGAAACTTGTATTTGGCTTTTGCTTTTATTTTCTTCATTATTTTGCCAGGCACGTGTTTTTCACACAGTATGGCCTATAATATCTCACCGATAATTGAATTGGAGAGGTTGAAATCATTAAACTTTTATCTTCATGTCTTAAAACTCAACTATCATTAACCATGTTTATTTATTAAGTGATTAAATCTACCGATATCATGAAGGTGACACGTTTGTTTGCTTTGTTATTTTTTTCAATGTGATTCCTTCGTCTTCTATTTTTTAACATGCTTCTCGTTCCCGGTTTCATTCCACTCCCTCTGTTTATTTCGTGTTGGACATCAACCACGCTATTTGCATGACAACCATCGAATTTTAAATCAACCAACAAAGAGTATGCATGGCCATTTAAAGGAGAAAAAATATAAATATAATTCTCCAATAAAACAATATCACGTGAGATATGTAACTTTTCGTAATACAAAAATTCATTTTCCATAACATATATCAATTTCCTCTGATTAATGTTATTTTGTATGTTATTTTTTTTTATTATGATATAAGTAATATTTACTATCAAAAGAAATCACTAATTTTATCATGAACCGGGAGTGTATATATAAAATAAATATTCTTTTTTAATATAATTTATTTCATATATAAAGTTAACATTCAAATCCTAAACATCTTAATTATTTATCACTTATATGGTTGAATGTTAGTATCTTAATTTATAATGAACTGAAATTTGTGGAGAAAAAAAAGGCAGAGAAAGGATGATCACATGAAAATTGAATAAATAAGTTCTTAGTGGGACTCGCGTCTAGAGCTGTCAAAACAGGTCAGTCTGATTTATGTGGGCCGGCCCACCTTGACCCACTTTAAAAATGGGTCAATTCAACCCGATCCATTTTTGATTTGGCAGATGATAGACACACCTTCACTCTCGTATAAACACACCCCCTTTTTAAAAAAATATATATAAAATGTCTAAATTACCCTTAAAAAATAAAATTCTTAAATTTACACCCCCTTCCCGTACCCCGTTCCCTGCACTTCCCTTCCCCTCATCCCACACCCCCCTTCCCCGCAATATATAATAAATAAGAGCAGCGATATATAGGTTCAATTACTGCTGCAATTCTCAACCGTGTAGGGTAAGGCCAGTGCTTCGTCGAGGTTGAGGCCTTCTCCCATTACCATGAGCTTCACGAGTTCAACGTCGGAGGAGTCGAGGGCCCGCCTCATGCAATGGATTTTCTGGTCCTCGAGGTCGAGAGCGGCATGGTGGTGGTTTGAATTAGCACTTCCATGTAAGGCAATAATAAATGGGACGGGATGGGATGGTTGTGCAGGAGAATTAAAGGACCCTTTTTTTAATTTTCTTTTGAGGAGGTTTGTTCTCTTTTCGAAAGTGGATGTTTGGGAAAAGTTTCGTGCGCTTACTGTGTGCAAGACAAGACTGCATATCATGAGCTAAATTTAGAAATTCCTGAGTGTGCGTCGAAGTGCTGGAAGAACGGCAATTCGAGAAAAAAGGAGGTGTAGGGTGTGGGGGTGCGGAGAAGGGAGGGTGTGGGGTGCGGGGAAGGGAGTGTAAATTTAAGAATTTCATTTTTTTAGGGTAATTTAGACATTTTATATATTTTTTTAAAAAAAGGAGGTGTGTTTATATGAGAGTGGAAGTGTGTTTATCATCTGCCTTTTGATTTTTCAAAATTTTTTTAGCCCGGTCCAGCCCACGATGGGTTGGTGGGTTATATGGGCCAGCCCACCAAAAATTTAAAAAAAAATATCAACAAAATTTAAAATTTTAAATTAATTATAAATTAATATAATAGTCATAAAATTAAATCATTAATAGCCATAAGTTATAATTCATCATACAAAATTAAATACAAATCATGATAAAAGTCCAAAAAAAAATATTTCAATATCCCATCATACAAAATTAACTACAATCATAATTAATTTTTTATTACAAAAAAAATTGGTAGGCTGGTGAGCTACTCAGCCCACCACAGGTTCAGCCCGGATAGACCGAGTAAAAGTAGGTCAGATTTAAATATATCCACTTACTATAATAAAATTTCCATTTTTTTAACCCGACTCAACCCGTTTTCAAAGTAGGCTGGATAGGCCCACGGGCCACAGCTCATTTTGCGGCTATACTCGCGTCGACACTGAATTGGGTGAATTTGCGCAGAAGTAGTTTGCATGTAATACACATTTCTCTCCCTCTCTCTTTTTATTTTATTTTTTTGATTTTATTTTATTTTATTTTTTTATGTGGCTTTCTGTTTCCTTCGTTGATAGGCGCTCTTTCTTTATCGTTAACACCCGTCTAATATGTTGAAATGTTGAGCATCACAGTTTGTGAGAACTTTTCAATAAAAATAAAAAATTAAAAATTAAAAATTAATTATCAAAATTAATTGTTTCAATTATATGATATTTAAAGTTTTAAAAAAATATTATTAATGAAGAGAGGTATAAATGTAATTCAATTAACAATATAATTTATTTTATATCTTCTTTAATTTTAAAACAAACCATTTTTAGTCTTTTTTCTATTTCTCTTTTATTTATTTTCAATTAAAAAATCTTAATTTTTACTCAATTTTTCATCTATTTTCCCCTCTCTTTTTTTTTTTTTTCTTTTTTCACCAAATCCATTTACTTTCTTTCACTTCTTTCCATTTTTTTTCTATAGACAAAACATAGTTGTAAAGATAGAAAAAGATGGGATGATATAATTTAGTTCAAAAGAAAATATTTTTTGATACCCTTATGTTAATTATACCTAGAAAAAGAAAAGGAAAAAAAGTAATAAATGGAATAAATATAGTTATGATATAATAGGAGGAGAGAAATCTAGACAAATGTAGGTCTCATAAAAAAATTAAAATATTTTATATTCGATCAATTTCTATATATTAAATATGAATTATTATTTTGTGCAAGAATATTTGATAGAAACATTTTAGAAACTTTTGTAATTTCTTATTCTAACTTTTATTTATCATATTTATTTATGAATTAATTTTTAATATTTAAACTAAATTATCAATAATTAAAAAACAATCTTACAACACAATGTAAATTATTCATATTTAATCTAAAATATAATTTATATATTTAAAATATTTATTTATATAAACTCTTAATATAATTTATAAATTTAATATAATTTATTATAAATTTTAGTTATATATAATAAACATCTGATTTATGAAATATACATACTAAAATACTAGTTATTTTAATGACACACAGCTAATTTGTTTAGGAAAAATCATCAATCTTAAATCTTGGCCCAAACCATTCTCATTCATTCATATGAAGAAAAAAAATGAGAGTCTAAGATTTTCAAAATATTATTAATTAACATGTATAAGCAATATACTATTTAACATATAGTTTTAATATGCTCTTTTTTTATTATTAAAATTTATTAAAAATTATAGAATTAAAAAATATTAAATAAAACGCGAGATTGATCAAAATTGCATAACTTTTAATAAATTTTAATTAATTAAAGGATATGTATTTAGAAGTGATTCACGTGTATTCCTAACATTTTCATATAAAATACTCCATATTATCAAATACTTGATATATCATTTTCTTTTATTTGGTTGTCATAATTTCATAGATTTACGTGTGAAGTGTGAAAGTGAAATACCCTCTTAATATTCATCAGAGTGTTGTATGTCATTAGATACCAATCCAAGGAATGGAAGATTGAAGATTGTTATCTAACCTACACTACACTGTAGCACCAAATCACCCATTTTTGAAATAAATGTTGTTCTAGGGACCATTTTTACGATGCCTCTTGATTTCAGAAATGAAATTGTTCCTTTTACCAACTCTTACTGGTTATGATGGACCCAACAGTGTAGACAAGATTTTCTTGAGCTAATAAGTTGAACAACTTAACAGCGATCGATCAATCCCTTGTACTAACCAAGTTAATCAATTAAAAGATTAAATTAAAGTATTTATACTTTCCCTAACGAAAATATAATTATTTTTAATTTAGTCTGAAGGAAATCAAGTTGAACAAGTAACAGAACGTTGTTATTGTGGTTGGCAAGTTTTCCATTTAGACGAAATGTTTTAGAAAAAGGGATTCGCATTGGGAAATTAGTTAAATGAATGAGATAAAGTATTATTAAAGAAGCAAAAACAAAAGAAGATGGCTTGTAAACATGGATAATGAGGTAATGTTGGGAGAAAATCCCCGGCAAGGTCTACCATCTTTTTAACCCCCAAATTGACTTATTACTGTCACTTCTCTTATGCTCAGATATGTGCAAAGTCTCCAGAACAAAAAGGAATATAAGCCATATCAATTTATTTATTTAAATTATTAAGTCACATGTTTTACTATAAATAAATTTTATTCAACTTTTTTCCAGTTTGGAAATTATAATTCTCATCAAGAGAAATTTATTATTACTTATCACTTCCTAATTTTACATCTAAATTGTTGCTAAAATTATTTAATAATTATATCCGTTGATAACTACATCGAATCACCGATTACTCCCTATTGTATAGTTGTATATTTATCCTAAATTTTTCTTGAATGTGTAATATTCTAATGATCTCTCCATCCTATTTTTACTAATTTGTTATTATCTTCTTTCAAATTAATATATATGCTTGTCTTTCATTTCATGGTCCTGCTCATTTGAATAATTGAAGTGATCAAATAAATCAGAGGTGTTGAAGTCTCGTAGAGGTTTCCAATTTTTAACAACTATTATATATAGTTTTAAATTATTTTTAGAATGAAAAACATTAAAGGAGGTGCAAGTATGAGAAATTCACAACCCATTAGAAATTATATATATATATA